AGCATCCGCTTGGCCTGCGGGCCCTGGTCGTCGGAGGACTCCGATGGGGGACGAAGCGTGCGGATGCTCTCAGGACTCACCTTGCCGGAAGACAACCTGGACCACAGGAAGAAAAACCGAGAGAGTGGACGGTCACCCAGAGGGGAAAGGAGGTCTTCTCGCCCAGAAGAACCGCCACTCAGATCCAGAAAAGAAAGTGCTACCAGCTCTCAAAATAGGAACTGCTGGGAAAACTCTAACCAGGACGGTAGAGTCTTGCCCAGCCACGGCACAGAGGACCAGCAGCAGCACACATCATCCTGGGTCCTCAGGAGCAGAGCTCAGCACACTTGGCATCCCCCCAGCGCAGGCAGCCCATGCCAATGCCTTGCAACAAGCTCCACCAACCCCTTGCAACAAGCTCCGCAGCCCCAGCAGGACGAAAGACAGATCCAGAACTCGCTTCCAACTCCTTCAAAGGTTTCCTACGTTCACCTGAGCCATCCACACCAGGGAAAGCCCCCCGAGAGGAGGGACGTCACGCAAACGTCCCCTCCCGCAGAACTCGGCATCTCTCTTGGAGATCCTGATGGATCATTTCAGACCAACTTTTTCCCCTGCATTCTCAACACTCAAACTTAAGGGTCTCAAAAGGCAGAGAGCATCAGAATAGTTCACTCATCCCTATCAAAAAAGCCTTGGACAAACAGGACTGAAAGGCCAAAGGCAGCAGAGCCAACAGAGACAATGCAGCCACGGTTATTTCAGTGCAGCAGACGAACCAAAAAAAAGAGCAAGATTAAGATCCACCAGCACCGGGACATCTCACAACAGTCCAAGAGCCAAAGCGTGAGATGTCCACATCTCAGCCTCTTGTGCTCCCATCGGGAAGATGCTCCCGTTGATTAGCAGCTATATGTGCTTTTGATGGGCTCTGCCAGGAGCTGGGGGTCTTGCAGCACCACAATCCACCACCTTTGGGCACACGTGGAAAGAGGCTTCAGCAGGGCACTCTTCGTTTCTGAATTTCCCAAGAAAAGACAGAGCCAACAGAGAATGACTCAAAAACTACATCGAGCTTGCACGAAGGACTCTGTTCGCAGCAGGCTAGCCCTTCTCCTAAGGAGCCCCTTCAAGCTGGGTGTGTGATTGAGTTCCACCAGCCAACTCCAGCTTTGGTTGATGTCCACAGATCCATGGGGTCATCTCTTAGTCTAAAGTTTGCTGCATTTGTCCCTGTTGCTTTCTGCTCCAAAGCTGGTCTGTCTCTTGTGAACCGATGTGTTCCCACAAGTTCAAGGAACACCGAAGCAACCAAACAAGGTCAGACGTTTCCATTTGAGCCTTGTAACAACTGCAGAAAGGAGGCACCTGGAAGACCCACAGCCCGGTGCCGCATCTAAGACAGATACTTACGGGGACTCCAAACTCTTCCTGCAGTGGGTTATCGAGAGAGGTGGGTCTGGAAGAGAATAAAAAGGGGAAAGAAGAGAGAACGCTAAGGAGGCGCAGCACAACAGAGACAAGACAAACTCAACATCACGACAACAAAAGACACTCAACGAGAGGCCAAGGTTTCATTGCTCCAGCGCTTTAATGGTTGCTGACAACAAACAGCTCCCGACAGAGGGTCCTGCCCGTTCCTGCTGCCGCGGTCTCACAGGCTAGAGGAGAAGGAGCCGAGTCCTCCGCCCTCTCCGGCTCCCCAGCCGCCCTTTTCCCTACCGACCGCTCCTGCACGGCAGCGGCAGTCCCGGCTTTCGGGAAGCAGAGCAGAGAGGTCTCCTTTGCAGGGGTCTTCTCTAGCCTAGCGCGGCTGTCGGGCACTGCCCGCTCCGGGTAGGAAGCGGCTGGAGAGCCCAGCTCCAGAGGGACCTCGGGGAGGTGAGCGGTCGCTCCCCATCTCTGGCCCAGAGGACATCCCAGCCCTAAACCCCCGGCTCTAGGAGTTTATCACCACGCGAGAGCGCTCCCTCGGAAATCCCAGGCGAGTTTCTCTGTCGCCTCTTCACCCACCCTGCCTCTCCCGCTCCCGACCACGGGCGCTTTCAGGCACAGCCGAGGGATGAAGTCAGGGCTTCACCTGAGGACGCGCACGGACGGAAGAAGAGACAGACAGGGAAGAAGGTTACAACCACAACACGACCAGGGAGGAGAAAGGAGAAGGAGGAAGAGGCAGGAGGGAGGGAGGAAGCACACCGGGGACAGGCTCACCTTTCTTGCGCTTGAGCTTGCGTTTGCGTTGCTTGTTGACGAAGCAGGCGGCGAGTGTGCTGAAGAGGCAGGAAGCAGATGGTGGCAACGATGCCAGCCAGCACTGGGCGGGCTAGACCCTCGTCCGTCAGGTCAGGCTGAGGGAATACGTCTGGGAGGGGGAAAAACCACAATTAGATGTTACGTGCACTCCCCTGCTTGCTGCCATCGCTGGGGACCTACAGCAGCGCGAAGGAAACTGGTACCAGGAGTGACAGTCTCCAAGCAAAGACCCTGCTTCCAACCCAGCCCGCCTGGGGAGAGCAGTCAGCGCTGCTGCAGACCACCAACAAGGGATTTGGTGACCTCACACCAGATAAACCTTTTTTTCTTAGCTGAGGGGTCCCCAGAGAAGAAGCCTCCACGCTACACAAATACACATTTACGTACAAGTGCACATGACTGCACCAAACCTGCGGTTATCTCCCAGACCGAAATCCCGCTGTAGCCCCCCCGGGATCAGCACATGTCCGCCTGCCGAGAGCACCAGCTTTCGGTCAGGGAGGGCAGTGGCAGAAAAACCCAGCAAGAAAAATTATGTGAGAGGAGCAAGGGCAGGGAAGCAGGGAGGCTGCAGCAGGCTCTCCACACCAGTACCACTTGGGGGCAGAGGGAGACCGCTGCATCCCTCCTCGGCTTTTCCAGGACAGCTAGTAAAGCAGGATGTGCCGCATCCCCATCTCCTCCTGCATCCCTTGCCTTCCCCATCGCCATCAGGTGCCCTCCTCGCCCGTCCCCTTGCTCAAGGAGTGTCCTCCAAGCTGGACCAGGGTACACAAATGAGCTGCAGAGCATTGCAGCCTCCTGGTGCAAAGCTTTATTTCCCGCCTCACACTCCGCACTGCAGCACTACCGTTTGCCCCTCTGCACCTTTCATTCCCGTTTCCAGGCTGCGCAGTGCCTGGTCAGAGCTTTGTTCTGCGGGCACCCCGCAGAGCCGAGACGTGCCGCCGCCCTGCGCCAGCGGATGCCCGACAACACCGCGCTCTGCGGGAAGGACTAAATGGGGCAGTTCGCCCTTGCCCACTCCAAGTGCCACTGGCGTGTTTGCACAGAGCCAGCAGCAACACCGATCCTAACCGTGCGCCCACCAGCCCAGCTCACAGCCTGAGCATCTCAGGCAAAAGCACAAAACCAGTCGCCACTGTCGTGATGCACGACCTGAGCGTTAGCAGAAGCAGAGATGCTCCCGCAGCAGGGGGTAGAAGATGCAGTCAGCCCTTACCTGTACTGGACACGCCAGCAACGTTGCTGGGTTCGCTGATGAGATCCTGCATGACCGCCAGGACCCGGAACTCATACCAGGTGTCCTGAAACATCAAGCACATCCGTCAGGCCCCCCACGACAGCCACCAACCTTGCCCAGATCCCTGAAGACCCTAGCACAGGGACCGAGCCACCCTCAAAGCTTCCCCAGAGCTGCAGCAGACAGTTCAACACCAGCGGCATGGTGTGGGCAGCCCTCGCTTACCTGGGACAAGTCCTTGGCAAAAAACTCGCTCTCGGTCCCCGGGATGCCGTCATCCAAGATCTCCCACCTCTCCGCAACGCGGAACTCCATGATGTAGCGGTCGATGGGGAAGGTGTGGTTAGCGGGAGGAAGCCACGACAAGAGGACGCCTTGCTGTGTTCGGTTGGCTGTTAGGCACCTCGGTGGGGTAACCAACACCAGAGGCTCTGGAGTTGTTACAGGGAATGCTGGAGACAGAGCGGACAGGACAGGGACACCTCTGAGACGGGGCGAGGGGAAGCACAGAGGATGCTCTCCCACCTTCCAGTCACATCTCAGGCATGTGCTCTCTTATCTCAGAGATACAAAAGCAGTTTTCCAAAAAGCAGGGGGCTAACGATGCAATGACTCCAAGAAAAGGGGCACAGCATTAGAAAACCTCCTGCTTCCTTCCACCTCTGCCCGAGACAGCCCCAAGGCAGGTACCAACATGAGGCTCTTTGTGATAGCTCCTGCTCTGAGCCGCACGCAAGTGATTTTGTGCTCTGTTAACACCTCCTGACCCCAGCTGAACTTAAGGAAGAACCAAGAGGTGACTGGTACAGTACGGCCCTCCCACGCTGTCTCTTAGGACAAATTCCCAGGAGCCTCACGCATACAGCAAAGGCTACAAGCTTCATCCAGAACTCTCCATGAACTATCTCCTATGCAGCTGGAAATTGCTGCTGCTGGTCACCATCTCCATCCCCAGCAGACAGGACACACGGACCAAGGCAAAGGGTCACCTCTCTTCCCCATGGACCTCCTGAATCCCTTCCCCCTCGTCCTCTCATGCCCACGGAGGACCTACCTAGAGTGTTCACAGTGACCACCTCACTGAAGGAGCTGGTGCCCAGCTTGTTTTGAGCCAAGACACTGAACTGGTACGCAGTCTCCGGTTCCAAGGTATCCACCAGTAGCCAACTGGAACCAGCTGGCACGGGGAGAGACAGCCAGTCATGGGGGCCAAACTGGGCTCTCTTCATCCTGTCAAGAGAGAAGGGAGCGATCCTTAGGGAAGCTGCCTTAGGGAGGACAACAAGGCAGCATTAACTTCCCGAGCGAAAATGGAGCTTTCCTGAGCAATGGTTTGGTTTGACAGCAGCGATGTGTATGGACGTGGGGCAGCCACTCGCCACCCAAAAGCTGGCTCCGGCACGGCGCACACGAGGACTGCCAGGCACGGGGCACCGTCCCGTTGTGCCACACCGGCATCCCCCGGCTCATACAGACACTGACACCAGCCCTCCCCTCTGCTGTGCACCACCGGCATCCTCAGAGCAAGGTCAGAGACGAAAGCAGTGCCAACAGCCCCGCTCTGAGGTTACCTCCATCAGATCCCACGGGCTAAAGTGGAAGCTGGTGCATTTTTACCCTCACAAGTGGTGCAAAGGGCATGGCTAGAGCAGATGGGCTCTATTCCCATTTATACCTCGACAGCTCCTGAGCCAGTGCCAAATTCTCCCTCAGCTGTAGCCCTGTACATGCAATTCTACAAAAGTCATTGAACTAAATCACCACTTCCACCGTATTTGCACAAATCGAGGGCTGCCAGCACCACCCAGGGCACAACTCAGGGTTTGGCAGTGCCGCAGAGGCATCTGCAGGGAGCACAGGACACAGCTTTTCCACAGGCGTCTACAACCCACAAATTGAGGATTCTCCCTCAGCTGTAGCCCTGTACATGCAATTCTACAAAAGTCATTGAACTAAATCACCACTTCCACCGTATTTGCACAAATCGAGGGCTGCCAGCACCACCCAGGGCACAACTCAGGGTTTGGCAGTGCCGCAGAGGCATCTGCAGGGAGCACAGGACACAGCTTTTCCACAGGCGTCTACAACCCACAAATTGAGGGTAAAAACACCACGGTGAAAGAGCCCCATGTCCCAGCGCGGCATCGTCGCGCTGCAACGATATTGGGAGTATTGGTGCTCATGTTGGAGAAGATGCTCTAGGGAGTCCCAGCCCTCGGCTGCAGTGTTCGCAGAGGGTTTGGGAAGGGTTACTGCAGAAGGTGTGTTCCACATAGATCAGTGGGCGTATCCACAGCCACTGGCATACAGCCGGGTGAGCTCACCCAGTAGCAAGTAAGAGACGGAGCAAAGGCAAATAACGCCGCTGTAAAGGGAGCACAAGGTGAGGCAGGAGAAGCAGCAGCAAGCTATGGCAACAAGCGAGCCGGCGGAGAGCCATGCACGTGCAGCGGTGCCTCCGCCAAACCGCGCAGCTGCGGGCAGGAAAGTCCCCGTGTCACCGCGGCTCCGGCTGCGGCGGCTCCCCCGATCCCCTGCCGCCGCGCTGGGCGCACGGA